AAAGACAGCCCTCAGAATGGGAGAAAATATTTGCAAACAAATCAACGGACAAAGGATTAATCTCCAAAATATATAAACAGCTCATGCAGCTCAATATTAAAGAAACAAACAACCCAATCCAAAAATGGGCAGAAGACCTAAGTAGACATTTCTTCAAAGAAGACATACAGATGGCCAAGAAGCACATGAAAAGCTGCTCAACATCACTTATATTAGAGAAATGCAAATCAAAACTACAATGAGGTATCACCTCACACCAGTTAGAATGGGCATCATCAGAAAGTCTACAAACAACAAATGCTGGAGAGGGTGTGGAGAAAAGGGAACCCTCTCGCACTGTTGGTGGGAATGTAAATTGATACAGCCACTATGGAGAACAGTAGGGAGCTTCCTTAAAAAACTAAAAATAGAACTGTCATACGGCCCAGCAATCCCACTACTGGGTATATACGCGGAGAAAACCATAACTCAAAAAGAGTCATGTACCACAATGTTCATTGCAGTTCTATTTACAATAGGCAGGTCATGGAAGCAACCTGAATGCCCATCGACTGGTGAATGGATAAAGAAGTGGTGGTACATATATACAATGGAATATTACTCAGCCCTGAAAAGGAACGAAATTGAGTCATTTGTTGAGACGTGGATGGATCTAGAGACTGTCATACAGAGTGAAGTAAGTCAGAAAGAGAAAAACAAACATTGTATATTAACGCATGTATGTGGAACCTAGAAAAATGGTACAGATTAACTGGTTTGCAGGGCAGAATTTGAGATACAGATGTAGAGAACAAACGTATGGACACCAAGGGGTGAAAACCACGGTGGGGTGGGGATGGTGGTGTGCTGAATTGGGCGATTGGGTTTGACATGTATACAGTGATGTGTATAAAATTGATGACTAATAAGAACCTACAGTATAAAAAAGCACACAAACAAACCAAAAAAACAACTAATACTAAATATTTTGGGGTTATTTGTATGGAAATATGTTAATATAATTTTTTCAGACATTACATGAAATTTCTAAAAATCTTATATGTTCTGGTGTAATGTTAGATGTCATAATTCGTTATTACTTTAAAATGTATATCTCAGAAATAACTAAGTTTCCTTGTCAATTGCATTATTATGAACTTTCCTGAAGTCATTAACCATGGTCATTTTTAAGTCTTTTGTCATTTCCAGACAGTTTTGGGTGTACTCTGATGCTTTTGCAAAAGTGTTCCTATAAAAGGGTTTCATCTTCAAGGAATTCAAGGAAAAGACTGACAAGTACAGGTTTCTGGTAACTGACTATACTGCTGAACTGAATGAATAAGCATTTTGAGAACTCTAATGGAAAACTGATGAATTCATAAAAGTGCTAACAAAAGATCAAGATGAAAAAAAATTAATTCGATAGGACTGAGTGAACTGATGAGGATGATTATAATTTTGGTGACTTTCAGTTTGAATAAAAAAAATCTCACAAGGACTCAGGCAAAAAATATACAAATCAATTTTCACTGCAAAGTAAAGGAGCTGTTACAGTGGAGGATTACTGGACTGAATGTCAATGTTATGACATCGTATGAGTGTTTTTCATGTTTGGTAATTGCAATTGTTGTTGCTTTTGTTGTGTCATCCATTTACAATGCTTGCTGTCAGTTTATTTATCTCTTGTGAAAATAAAATACGGTGTGTGTGTGAAAAAAAATAAAAAATAATAAAAATGGGGAAAAAAGAAGGGAGGAATGATTTAGAAAATATTAGAACAACATAAGAAGTTTATAGAAATTTTTGTATCTGAAATGTACTGTCACCTTATTATCGTAATCATTGGTTAAAGGAATAAAGAGGAAGAATGTGAATTAAAAAATAAATAAATAAAATAAAATAATAACAGTGGTTAAGGTGTAGTTTGCAGATTTTATGTAAGATCCCACCATCTCCCCAAAATGGCTCAGAGAATGAACTAGAGTTATAAGCAGCTTATTCAGGAAGCTATTTCCAACATAGGTTAAAAGTATGTTCTTTAAGATAACATTGTCTTACTTGCCTAAATGCCTGCCACCTTCTGGAAGCTAGGAGCACTTCATTAAAAGACTCCTAATAGTAGCACTTAGTAATAGGGTTGAAACTGGAATTGTTTATGGAAAAAAATTTTTTAAATTTGACATTTTATCTTGAGCCTTGTGAATCACAATTGAGTTTGTTAGACCAGAAGAGGGGCTAATTTAATATAATTGGAGATGGCAGGTTATATGCTTGTCCTCAATAAATTGGCCACAGAAAAAACTATTTTTAAATTAGTGAAAGGCCATCCAAAAGTAGGCCTTAAGAAAATGGGAAAAAGAAACAAAAATAAATAAATACAGCAACTTCAAATGCTCAAAAATGATGAAAATTTTCATTCTTGTTTGTTTTCCTTCTAAAGCAGAGTTAAAATGAAACTTTGAAATGATGTGTTTATTTTCAAGCAACGTCTATATCTAGAAACAGGAACTCAACTGGATCTTTGAATCAATATTGATATGCCTAGAAAAGTACCCAAGAAAAATAATAAAATAATGTTGCAGATTTACATTTATAGTATGATAATGTACCCATGCACATACAAAGTAACAGGGTACCTAGAAATATGTACATAGAAATATAAAAAGCTCTGCAAGAGTGGCTAGATGGATTACTCTTGGGGAAGCAGAAGAAAAGACCGAAGTTGGACAGAAATCAAGGGAACTTTATCTGTAGTCTGTTTTTTAAAAAAGAGAATGAGCTTCTAACTTGTGTAATTTATCACTAATTAGAAATCCAAGTAAACAAATCCCTGTTATATATATCAGTATTTCATGATACAGCAAATGCAATATATATTTCATCAAAATAAATAAATAACAGCAGAAATGTACCATATAGTCTTTCTGTGTTGCAATCTTGTGTGTGTGTGTGTGTGTGTGTGTGTGTGTGTGTGTGTGTGTTGCCAAACAAAGAGTAAAACGTCCAGGAAATGCACAGCTCTACTTTGTAAAGTGCTTTCAAACAGACTTTCCTCATGCATAGCTTTTAATAATTTAAAAATATTAATGCTTGTGACCTCCAGGAATGAGGTCCCATGGAAAGTGTAAAGATTATTTTTAGAGAAGCTAATTTGGAATGATCCAGCCAAAGGTCTATCTCAAGGGACCTTTTGAGAGCTTTACTATTTCCAAGTTTGTATCAATTTATTTTCATTATTGAGTGCCTATTATTTATAAGGCCCAATATGTTCTAAAGCAGCGAGACTTGTGCTTACAATAGGAAAAAAGTTGGGTATGTGGTAATATTAAAGGGAGTCAGCTCTATAGTATTTTAGAGCTTGGGCTCAGTAATCAGACTCACTTGGGTTTCAATTTCCATTGCACTACTCACTAGCTGTGAAATCCTGTGCAAACCATGGGGATATATAAAGCCTAGTTCACGGAGCTGTCAGAATGGGGAAATGAGATCATTATAAAGGATACTGTGCAGTGCTGGCACACAGTGAGTATTCAGTCAATTCAATTAATTCCTCTGCCACCCAAGGAATGGATGAATGTGTAAAGAGTGCTCTTTAAACTGTTTTACACATAACCTCTTTGTCTTTATCAAAACTCCTAGATTTAAGCTGAATGATTTTTATTTTGAATTTTTTATTTTATTTACTCCTGTTAATATGCTTTAATGAGTCTTAATTAATTTTCAAGACTCATAAAAAATTGGAGGTTGAAAAGGCTTTTGAGGTTATCTGGTCCACTGTCCCCAGAGATGACTTTCACCCATCTTCCCCTGATATTTAAACCCGGGAAATAAAAACATTTCCTGGAATATTCTAGTTACTGGTGGAATAACAGGAAATAAAATGAGAGGGAAGGAAGGCCAAGGGAATATGCACGGGAGGAGGGAGACTAGTGAGAGAGGCATTGGGAGAGTATGACCAGCATCGAGTAAAAAGGGGAAATACAAGGAAGAGAAGGGAAAAAGACAGAAAAGAGGACCTCGATTAAGTGTAAGGAAAAAAGTGAGAAAATGAAAGAGGGGAAAGTACAGAGGCATTGCAATTCGTCAATTGCAGGCACTAACAGTGTTTAAGAGTCAGACATTCTGGGTTTTGGTAATTGTAAAATGCATGATCATAAGACATATTGCTTAATCTCTGTGAGTCGTGGTCTTCGGAGCTCGTGGTGTAGATTAAACGAGCTAAGTGGGATGGACGCTCTCTAAACAAAAAAAGTCTGTTTAAATAGGAACTAGGAAGAGGAGAGAAAGTGGCAGAAAAAGATACAGGGAGAGGGACGTGTAGGGGGAGGAGGAGGAGATAGAAATCGGTAGAGACAGACGGAGAGGGAGAGGGAGAAAGGGGAATTGTTGACAAAGCAGGTGAGAACTAAGGAAAACCACAGTAACGATGCTTCTGTGGCTACCGCGGTGACGGCTCCAACACACCGAACACTGACAACTTGCCAGGTATGTTGTTAGAGCTTTACATGCGTAATTCCACGCTGTACTCACATCAGCTCTACGAGTCTATGTTCTAGCCTCATTTTATAGAAGAGATATCTGAAGTACAGAGAGGTTTTGTAACTTCCCCAAGGTCTTACAGCTGCGAATTGGAGAGAAGGGATTCAAACGCGGATCTCTCTGCCTGCAAAGCCAATGTTTAAATCATCTCTAAGAACCTCCAAAGAGGCTTGGTGGGTCTAAGGCGGACTCTAGCCCAGGTACGTCCAAGTTATGGGTTCAATTCCCTGGGTTCAATTTCTGAGCCCAAAGGCTCATTCACCACGTTCCGTCTCCACCTCCCCGCTAACAGCGTCCCGTCTCCACGGAGATCGCCGTGGGGCGGGACTTCCTTTCTCACGCACGCCACTTCCGCCTCGAGCCGGAGGCGTCGTGTCTAACAGAAGGGGCACCGGAGCGTGGGGACTTCCTGGAGAGTTTGACTGGCAGGACTGCGACTGCTGCGAGAGTGACCGACTTGGGCACCAGAGTCCGGCGTGGTGATGCTGACCCCGGCGTTCGACCTTAGCCAGGACCCCGACTTCCTGACTGTCGCCATTCGCGTGCCCTACGCCCGGGTCTCCGAGTTCGACGTCTACTTCGAGGGGGTCGACTTCAGGTTCTACGCCAAGCCGTACTTTCTCAGGCGAGTTCCGGGTGCCTGGCTCCGGGAAAAGCGTGTTTTGGGGATTCATTTATACATTTATTCACTCATTAAATAACTGCTTATCGAGGGAGGATGAAAGAACAAGAGAGCACTTCTCAGCATCACGACTACGTTTTCCCGAGGTCCCTGCAGCACGTGCTGAGGAAGCGAACTCTTCCAGGCGTGCGCTCTGGATGTTGCAGAAGCTCATCCTTTTTTTTTTTTTTTTTACATCTTTATTGGAGTATAATTGCTTTACAATGGTGTGTTAGTTTCTGCTTTATAACAAAGTGAATCAGTTATACAGATGCATATGTTCCCATATCTCTTCTCTCTTGCGTCTCCCTCCTTCCCTCCCACCCTCCCTATCCCACCCCTCTTGGTGGTCACAAAGCACCGAGCTGATCTCCCTGTGCTATGCGGCTGCTTCCCACTAGCTGTCTACCTTACGTTTGGTAGTGTATATATGTCCACGCGACTCTCTCGCTTTATCACAGCTTACCCTTCCCCCTCCCCATATCCTCAAGTCCATTCTCTACTAGGTCTGTGTCTTTATTCCTGTCTTACCCCTAGGTTCTTCATGACATTTTTTTCCCTTAAGTTCCATATATATGTGTTAGCATACGGTATTTGTCTTTCTCTTTCTGACTTACTTCACTCTGTATGACAGACTCTAGGTCCATCCACCTCATTACAAATAGCTCAATTTCGTTTCTTTTTATGGCTGAGTAATATTCCATTGTATATGTGCCACATCTTCTTTACCCATTCATCCAATGATGGACACTTAGGTTGTTTCCATCTCTGGGCTATTGTAAATAGAGCTGCAGTGAACCTTTTGGTACCTGACTCTTTTTGAATGATGGTTTTCTCAGGGTATATGCCCAGTAGTGGGATTGCTGGGTCATATGGTAGTTCTATTTTTAGTTTTTTAAGGAACCTCCATACTGTTCTCCATAGTGGCTGTATCAATTCACATTCCCACCAGCAGTGCAAGAGTGTTCCCTTTTCACCACACCCTCTCCAGCATTTATTGTTTCTAGATTTTTTGATGACGGCCATTCTGACTGGTGTGAGATGATATCTCATTGTAGTTTTGATTTGCATTTCTCTAATGATTAATGATGTTGAGCATTCTTTCATGTGTTTGTTGGCAGTCTGTATATCTTCTTTGGAGAAATGTCTGTTTAGGTCTTCTGCCCATTTTTGGATTGGGTTGTTTGTTTTTTTGTTATTGAGCTGCATGAGCTGCTTATAAATTTTGGAGATGAATCGTTTGTCAGGTGTTTCATTTGCAAATATTTTCTCCCATTCTGAGGTCATCCTTTCTTAAACCTTCTTACATCCCCGCCTGGAAGAGATTCCGGAGCCACTGTAAAACGTGGAGTTTGGGGCCATATCGCCTTTTCCGTTTTCTGTCCTGTTGCCCTAGTTCTTGTCCCTTTTTCTGTTTTCTTTTCGCTCTGCGTTAGTCGTCCTTGCCCTGGGACAGCGCGCGCTGACTTCCCAGCTGACCCGTCCATTTGACTTTTCTCAGTCCACGTTCTGTTCCCCGACCTCTTGGCTGACCGCTCCCTATTCCCTGAAATTTTCGCCTTCTTTGGCTCCGCCGACGCCAAAGTTCTCTCGTTCTCCTACCTCCTCGTTGTCTGCTTCTTCTCTGTTTGGTTTTGCTCCCTCATTGTGGTTGTCGTCCCCCAAGCCTCAGGGAGGGTCCTTCAGCACTTGTCCGTTTGCATTTTTCTCCTTGAAGAACCGTAACAGCAGTGGTAACAGTTAACCCTTTCTCCTCCCCTTTCGTGTGGCGGGCAAGCAGTGCGTGTAAGTGGCGGGTTAAGTACTTGTGTGCATTGTCTCATTTTACCTGGACAGCGATCCTTAGAGATAGGCATTATTATTAGCCCCATTTTAAAGAGGACACAGCCAGATTATTCTTACTTAACATTGTCAATACCTTGTTCTCTCCTTTCCACCGAGGGAAAATCCATTCTCCTCATCTTTCTCATTCCAGCCTACCTTTCCTGCCCAACTAAGTACATTCCCAGCACAGACATTGCTCTTGAGTCGAGCTGGTTCCTTCACTGGGCCTGAACCAGTTTTGCTCAGGTATCTATTAGGCCTTAACTTAATCCACCTATTTGAATATATTGCATTTCCCTGCTTCTTCACTCTTTCGTTCTTTCGCTTGATTTATCGAGCTCATGGTATATTCCAGACTCTGCTTTTGGTATTGGGGATGTGGTGGTGTCTTACGTAGTTTTCATTCTAGTGGGGAGAGAGAAACAATAAACAAACAAGTAAACATATAACTACAAATTGTGGTAATTTCTCTGAAGGAAAGTAAAGTGCACTGATAGAGAATAAAAAGGAGCCTGGGTTTATACAAAGTGGCCAGGGAAAGCCTTTCTGAAGAGGTGACATTTAAGCCAGAACATGAAGAATGGGTAGAAGACTATGATGGTGTTAGCAAACATTTATTGACTTTTTACTTCAGGTTAGTGACTTATGTAAATTATCTCACTTGATTTTAGGAGAGTCCTACAAAGTAGGTTCTGTTATTTACCCATGTTACAGATGAGAGCGCAGAGGCTCAGAGAAAAGATATTAAATGAGATAGGATTGTAAAATAAATACAATACAATAAAAATTTCAAAATAAAAGCCACTTGCTTAAGTTTGGGAGTTTTGATGAAGACAAAGTAAGAAGACATGTGTGAAGCAATTTAAAGAGTAGTTTTAATACAAATTCATCCATTCCTTGGGTAGCAGAGGCTCGGGAGTTGTGGGTCTGAGCACACTTAAAGTTCTGTGACTTTTGGGCAAGTTATTTAGTCTCAGTTTCCTAATCTGTAAAATGGGACTAATATTAGTGATCTTAAAGAGTTGATGTGAGGATTGAGATAGTACATGCGTGATCCTTATTACTGTGCCTGGTAATTATGTGTTCAATAAATGGTGGGTATTATTATTTATTAAGAGCATCTTACTGTTGCAGTTATCTGCTGCTAAATAACCAGTCAAACCTAATGGTATAAAACAACAATCATTTAACTCCCTCTCCTGGTTTTTGTGCCTTAGGAATTTGGTAAGGGCTTGGATGAGCTGTTCTGGCTTGAGGTCTTCAATTTAGTTGTAGTCACATGGTGGCTAGACCTGGGACAGGAAGGGCTGAAGCAACTGGGGACTGATAGGATGGTTGGAGGAGGGAATCTCTTCTCGTGTGGTCTCAGGACCTCCCTGTGTGGTCTGTTTTCATGGTCTAGTTTGTGATTTCTTCAGGGAGTTGGACCACTTCCATGATACCTGAAGGTTTTAAGGGCAAATATTCCAGGGAGCAAGGCAGAATCCATGTCATCTTTTATAACCTAACCTCAGAAATCAGTGTCATTTCTGTTATATTATATGGGTTAAAACAGTTCCAGAAGCCCACTCACTTTTAAGCGGAGGGGACATAGATTGGACTGTTGGGAGGAGTGATGTGAGATGGACCATCTTTGGAAATACAGTTCGCTACAGTATACCAGAGATGGATAAAACCTCACCCCTCTCCTTGAGGAATTGAGAGTCTAGCGGGGAAGGCAGATCTGTGAGCAAATATGATTTCACCATCATGCATTACGAATTTAACTCTATAGTTACAAAGCATTTAGGAAAAGGGAGATGATAATAATAGTTTACATTTTCTGAATGCTTGCCTACTGTACTAGCCACTAAGCTTTTTGCATTATCCTTTCTTCCTCACAGTAACCCTAGGATAGATTCTGTTATTTTTCCCTTTTTATAAATGATGAATATGAGCCTTGAAGTTAATGAACTTGTACCAAGAAAGTTACAGAGCTAGTAAATGGCACAACTTGGACTTAAGTCCACAAATGGACTTCATTCAGATTCTGAGAGTAAAGTTAGTGTTTGTATGCATGATAACAAACTAATTTATTCGTAACTGAATCTTTAGGCTGAGTTTAGAAGAGATTTCTGTTTGGAAAATGTGTTGTAGCTTCAGGAAACATTGGGATCAAAGGTAGGTAGGTTGGAAAGCCCCGGACCTTTTGGGGTCTGCCAAGTTTGATGATGATGATGATGATGATGATGATGGTGATGATGTTAGAATAGGTAGCATGGAGGAGGCGGGTGTGGGAGGAAAGGAGGTTCATATTTTAAGTTTGGAGTGGAATGGAGCTGGCCTCATGTAGTACTGGTGAGTTTAAATTATCTAGTCAGTATCAAGGCAGCCATAGAAGTTTTTTATTTTTTTGCGGTACGCGGGCCGCTCACTGTTTTGGCTTCTCCCGTTGCGGAGCACAGGCTCCGGACGCGCAGGCTCAGAGGCCATGGCTCACGGGCGCAGCCTCTCCGTGGCATGTGGGATCTTCCCGGACCGGGGCACGAACCCGTGTCCCCTGCCTCGGCAGGCAGAGTCTCAACCACTGCGCCACCAGGGGAGCCCCTAGAAGCTTTTTAAATAGAAAAGTGACAATCAAATTTTTGTTTTAGAAGAATTCTTTTGGGGCCTCAGTGGAAGACTGACTGACCCGGGTAAAACTGAAAACAGGGAAATCAGTTCATGTTCTTTAGTAGGAAAGAGGGGGAAATCCCCATATAGTATTAATGAGATATGAGAAAAACACTTTTGCTTTCTGCCTTTTTTTTTTTTTACTACTTAAAAGTAGTAATTTGCCCAATATAAACAGTTGGTTTTGTTGGTTCTTTATTCTTTCTCATTTCTTGATTCTTTTTTTTTTTTGGAAACTAATTAGTACACTTTTATTGAGCTTATGCTGTATCAGGCACCAGGTATATAAATAACTCTCACTAGGAAGGGAAAAAACTGTAGCAGTAATGATATCTAATATTTATTGTGGCTTTTCTTTTTAAGTGTTTTATCAGTGAGGAGCGCCTATTCAAACAGAAAGATGAGTCACCTCTGAGTTCTTTCTTCTTAGCTAGGGAAGAAATGTAAGTTATATAGTTTGTAAAATTTAAGTGCTAGGATTATCCTTTTAAAATTGTTGATTTCGGTGGTTGATGTTTACTGTCACTGATGGTCCCTTACGATGCTTTGTAATTTAAGGACTTCATGAGACCTTTTATTAAATCTGCAGATTAACCCTTCCTGGAAGAATTGTAGAAAATGGAAGCGAGCAGGGATCCTATGCTGCAGATAAAGGTATTGCCTTTGCAATTTTTGTTAGTTTTTTTTCTTTGGATTCTTCCTATTGGAGTAGTTAAATAATAATCTCATGTACTATGGGGACCTTTAGGTGTATGGCAAGTGCAGTCTGCCCCTGTCACTCTTCATTGTTTCTTAATGTCCAGTGCCTGTTATTCATGGATTTTTAGCAATTACATTTCCTCAAGTCCTTTAAAGTGCTTTACAATATTCTTTAAAGTAAGGTTCAATTAGTCATATACTCTGGCTTTGCTTTCTAGAAGTTTTATTTCCTCCTTCTCCCTCCATTTAGTAATTTAGATTGCTGGAGGTGACTGATTAGAAAAGATGTGGATGATTTTTGTAAGTTGTGAGTCAAATGTTTCTTTTTCTTTGAAAAAATTTTTTTAAATTTTTTAATTAAAAAATGACAGTTTTCTTTTTCTTTTTAAAAATTTATTTTTTTATTGAAGTATAATTGATTTACAATATTGTATTAGTTTCAGGTGTACAGCAAAGTGATTCAGTATATATATGTATATATTCATATTTATATATATATATATGTATTTGTATATATATTCTTTTTTCTTGTGGAATTTTCAATCTTAAAATATAATTACATGTAGGTGAGAGAGAAACTGTCCATAGGGGGCATTTAAAGGCTGATTGAATTTTCTACTCCTAATTGATAAGCCCTTCATTTCAACTCGTCTTGAAACCATTTATTTCCCTTCTGTAGAAACCACTGGATTTTCCTTTGTCACTGGATCTGGAGTAAGAATAAACTTGTGTACTGTTGTGTGATTTATTCAGTGACTATTTATTGACCTCAGTGAACTAGGGTAAGGGAGGAAAGATGGGATGAAAGAGTTAAATGACAAAGTTCTAACCCATAGCACAATATAACTAATGTGGTAATAAAGTATAATGAAACTGCCTTTCTAGGTAGTAAATCTGCTTTTAATTGCAGTAAGTTGCATACAGAAGCAAAGTTATTAAATCTTGAAAGCACATGGGGGTTTAAGAAGGTTGTATGTGGAAATATTTGGGTTTAGTTGTAGCTGATACATTAGAATATGGGTTAAGTGCACTGAAAGAGGTAAACTGTTTTAAAATGTAAGAGTAGTGAATAATGTAATCCATTCATAGGCAAGCCTAGATGAAGCTGATAAACCCAGTCAAGGAAAGAAAAGGAGTACACAGATGGAATTTGGGTCTATGTTAGACAGACTTTAGGGATATATCTCTTGAGATATCAAGAACTTTATCAAGCCGTCATTGCCTTATTTAAGATTTCATGTATATTTGAAACTGCTGCTATTCTTCATTGGATTAAATATCCTGATTTCCCCCCCTAGTCCAGAAATAAATCTTATGAGTAGATACGGCTAACCCTAAGCTGTTGCCTTCTCAGGCCATTGTGTTTTTGACTTGAACCTTTAATATTATAAATAGGTAAAGGTGATATTGGGTAGGATTTAAGCATTCTGTGGCTTTAACAGATTAATTTCTCATAGAGGTGACAGCTGAAACAGTGGTTCTGAAAAATCTTGTTTGAGCCTTTTTCACTAACTATATAATAAGGACGTAATTTTGGAGCTTTATGTAATAGAATTACAGTTTACCGAGATGCCTGTTTCTTAACTGTATTTGTGAAGTCTTTGAATTTTTAAATCTAGCTAAGCATAAAACAAATTCATCTTTAAGGAATTTTTACCATTCGATTGCCCAAAGAAACTCCTGGCCAGCATTTTGAAGGGCTGAACTTGTTAACCGCTCTACTGGCACCAAGAAAATCCAGGACTGCAAAACCACTTGTGGAAGAAATAGGTATGTTCATTGCCTTTGGGAGGAAATACAGGTAAACGAATATTTGGAATGCTGTGTGTTTCTAGGGGAAAAGGGATATAGCAAATAGGAAATTGGAGAAAATACTTCAGGTGACAAGATAAGGAGGTCATGTGACACCATGTGAAAATAGTTCATTTGCTGACACATAATTTAAAGACAAAAACAACTCTATTGAACCTGTAGGTCGGTCATGTTTTGGGACGAATTGAAATAACATCTCTGTGTTTGGCAAAATATTGGCCTCTTGAGCTAAAATCAGAAGCTTACAATTCAGTGTAGTAAATATAAAGTGGACACTGCCTAGGTCAAGAAATGGAACGTTTCCCACATCCTGGAATCCTACCCTGGTTATTTCACCCTCCTTACTCTCCAAGGTAACCACTACCCTCAGTGTAGCCTGGTTTTGAATTGTATATGTAATTCATACAGTAGGTGTTGTTTGCTATCTGGCTTCTTTCACATAACATTTTTGTGAGATTTATCCACATATAGCTGGGATCTGTTTTGCTTTCATTGCATTTATTATTTATGCATCCTGCTACTGATGGAACTTTGGGTTGGCTCCATTTTTTTTTTTTTTTCGCTAATAAGAATAGTGAGAGTAGGGGTGGGCGAAATAGGTAAAGGGGATTAAGATGTACAAACCGCCAGTGACATAATAAGCAAGCCACAGTGATGTAATATACAGTGTAAGGAATATGGTCAATAGTAGTGTAATAACTTTGTAAGGAGACAGATGGTGATCATTTCATAATGTTTGCCAATGTCAAATCATTATGTAGTACACCTGATATGAACCTAGTATGGTACATTAACTGTATTTCAGTTAAAGAAAAAAAAAAGAATAGCGGGGCTATTCATATCCTTATACATGTCTTTCGGGGTACATGGGCAGGCATTTTTTTCCTGTACTTTTTCTTCCCCAAGTTATACCTAGGAAGTCCAATGCTTTAACAAATTAGTATTTCGCACATTTAGGTGCTTCTGAGGTTTCTGAGGAAGGAGTAGAAGATGACGATGAAGAGTTTGATTGGGAAATTGAACAGTCCCCCTATGAAGAGGTACCAGAAAGTACTTTGAATCCAGAGTGCCGCTATGGGTTTGGAAACTTACGCTCGGGAGTGTTTCAGCGGTTACAGGTATGTTTTTCTAAAAGACTTTGGTATATACCAAGGGTTTTACTATTTGCGTATTTTAATTTCAGTTCTGCTTATACCTGGAGGTTTTTTATGAAGATTGTAGGAGGTGACGTATTTAGAGCACAAACCACAGCTCCTTGTACGTAGTCGTTACACGGACGTTCACTCCCTTCCGTTGCGCTGGCTGTGCTGCCCAGTCTCACTGCGCTTACACATGGAAGGTGTCCTGGTCTCCTTTTTTTTCCACTTCATTTGCTATTGTAGACATGAAGTTTCCAAAATACAGAACAGAACCCCTCTCTCATCATACTTCCTGAAAAGCTTTATGTTTTATACCTCTAAAAAATGAAAATCGTATACTTGTGGCTTGATGTCTCTTCTGTTTTATATGTAAATGAGACAGAATATTCCTGGTGAGAATGGGTTTGTGGCTTTTGATGAAATTGTTTGGTTCTTGATATACAGTAGGCACTTTTGTTTATTTACTCTTGATGGGGGTTGAATGTAATCTCTTGTTAAAATCTGATCATTTGTCAGTTAGGCTAAAAAGGAATGACATTACTCTTTTTGTTCCTCAAACATTTTAGTAAATTCTACTTCATGAATGAAATGGAGATTCTGGATTATTCTCTATTTACTTTGTACTATAGAAAACAACATAATGGGGTCTTAATTTTTTTTCAATGAAAGAAATGGTGGCGAACAGTTTTTTATTTTAGTTTCATCCCTGTCTGGGTAGAGGTTGTTAAACCTGCTTAGCATGTGGTTTATTATAGTAAGACATGTTTGAGTCTGCTAAGGAAAGTTAAAGGACCTGTGTTTTAGTCCCACTTGTACCTCTGTTTAGATTCCGGATGCAGGCCAGTTATTTGACCACAATTAAGTTTTGTCTCCTCTTTGTAAAATAGGGATAAATTTGCTCACCTACTTTATAAGGCCATTTAGAAAATTTAAGGAAATGCTACGTTGTGAAAACTCTTTGACAAAAAGAATAGGATGCTAGAAAGACCTCTGCCCTTGAGAAATATAAAATGCTCTCAAGACTCCTTAAAGGGAACAAAATTGGGAGTTACTTAAGAGCAAATATTGCTGATGAGATAACTTCGTTCAGAACCTTATGTTTTTCTGCTGAGTTATGGTTTCTCTGTATTCTCTCTCCCTAATCACATTCCCAGGTCATCTCTGAGGTAGTAAGAGTAGAGTCAGTTTTTTCTATAGCAGAAACTACAGCAAATGGATCTTAATTGTTTGGCCGAGAGTAGTATTAGTCAGTGTATTTTGGGATTACCCATCTAAAGCTATAAAGGAATGAGAGAGAGAAAAAAAAAAATATATATATATATTCTTTTTTAGATTCTTTTCCCTTATAGGTTATTATAAAATATTGAGTGTAGTTCCCTGTGCTATACAGTAGGTCCTTGTTGGTTATCTATTATATATAGTAGTGTATATATGTTAATCCCAAACTCCTAGTTTATTCCCCCACCCAAGACCTTTCTCTGCTAGTAAACCAGCTAGAGGAAACTGAGACCACTATTGCATAAATAAGAGCTTTGAGAACATCTATTTTAAAATGATGTGTTTAAGAAACCACTGTTTTCTCAACTAGTGAGAAAACGTTTTCTGCCAAGTTTATAGTTTCTCTGGTGCTGCCTTTGGATGAGAAAATATCCATAGAGTTTTGCTGACTACTCATATTTTACTAGTATTTTTAGTCTCTTTCCACCACCACCCCTTTAAATGAAATATAGCTTCATTTTTCTCTGATGATAAAAGTGATACGTGTTCATTATGAAAGTACAGTATAACAAAGAAAGTAAAACATCATCCATAATTCCAATACCCAGGTATCTTCTCTGAATTGAATAATTTAACCCTTTATTGGGGGAGAGGGTATCGTCCTTCATATTTTTTTTCCCACCAGCCATTTACACAGGGTTGGCTTGTGAGCATCTGTATTTTATACTGATACTGAGATGGAAATAAAAATATGTGTGCTGAAACAAATTCTCTGTCACCCCGTCCCCATACAGACACATGCGCGTGCGTGCGTGCGCTCGCTCTCTCTCTCTCTCTCTCTCTCTGTCTCTCTGTCTGTCTCTGTCTCTTTTCTGAAGTTGCTGCCAGCCACAGGGCGCCTTTGGAAAGCTGCTCTGGCTGCTCCAAGTCAGGGTTTCACAGCAGGCTCCTGGTGACAGTGGCTGCCAGCAGCAACAATCCTAAAGTCTCTGGTCTTTAAATAGCTCTCCTAGCAGTGACCTTAGCAATGCTTTCAAAACAAAGAGAATCACTTTCACTCTGCTGTAGTGTGTCATTTCTCATCCTCTTTTCTTCCATCCCTTTGGTTGACAGATGCCTTAGACTGATTTCACTACCCCAAGCTAACTTCACTTTTTAGTTCCAGTTTCTCTTGAGGGTCCAGTGGGCACAGGGCCGCTGTGGATGATCGTGCGAAGGACAGGCCTGGGTGGGGCTTGCACTGCTGTGGATGTTGACGTTCTGCGGGGCACGAGCTGCGCAGCTGTGTGGATGCCCTGAGTCTGGAGGCTGGGGGAGGAGGGGGAGAATTCTCTTCTGGCTGTTGAATTCTCACTCCCACGGGAGCAGGGGCCTTGTCTGTATGTTTATTTCCAGGTCTCCAGCACCCAGAGCAGCGTCTAGCCCAGAGCAGACCCTCACACGCTGTTTGCTGAATGAGCAGTTTGAAACTGAACACCAGACAGGGTGCTGGGGGTACAGTAAGCAAGAAGACAGACCAGATCTCTGCCCTCATGGAAGATTCTAGTGGAGAGACAGATAGTAATCGTATAAAGGGCAAATCAACAAGATAATTTCAGATACAAGTGAAGGAGAAGGGGGTGATGTGGGAGCTGGGGCGGGGTGGTGCTGTTTTGGCCAGGAGGCCCCGAGAAGACCTCTTGGAGGAGGTGACATTTGCTGAGTCCTGAATGACGAGAAGGGTGCTGTAAGCGCAGAGACTCAGTGTTCCAGAGATGGCAAGAAGTCTGGTGTGTGGCTCCTGTGTATTTGAGCCAGAAGGGGAAGGTAGGAGATGAGGGTGAAGTACAAGACAGCAGCTAGATTCTGCAGAGCTTTGAGCCATGGTAAGAGTCTGGGTTTATCCTTGGTGCAGTTAAGGTTTTGAAATGCCTGGGGTTACTTCGGTCCAGTTATCCTCTGAAATGTGAGTCTGAAAGATTATACCCTGTTGTTGACCTTGTATCTGCTCCAGATGAAATAATGAAGCAGGACATTATAATCCTCCCTGGCTCCCCAGTTTTTTTTGTTTTGTTTTTTCTTAGTACTTGCAAGTGAGGCAGCTGAAGAGGAGGGCGGGTATGTGCTCTCAATAGGAAGTCAGCCCCTGAGCCACAGGGAACAGCAGTGGAGCAGGGAGTCAGAGAGACAGAAACTGACGTTCTTGAATGATCACACCCTGTACTTAGGCCTTGCTCATATTAGTTCATTTAACCCTTCTAACAGCCTATGGGAGACAGAATGCTGTCCGTCACCCCTGCCCCTGATGTCCACGTACTGACCCCATGTACTAAGTACATGGCGAAAGGGACTGCGCCCATGTGATGAGGCTGAGGATATTGCGATGGGACGATTATCCTGGATTATCCAGGTGGGCCCTGTCTAAGCACAGGGTCTTTACAAGAGGGAGGTCAGAGAGTCAAAGTGAAAACAGAGAAGCAAGCGCATGATGACGGAAGCCGAGGGAGAAGGAGCCTTGTGATGAGGGGCTCCTAGGCCAGGAGTGAGGACAGCCAGCCTCTAAGGTGGAGAGGGCAGAAAAGCACACGGTCCCGCGGAACGTCCAAAAAGGAACCAACCCTGCCTTCGCCTTAGTTTTAGCCCAATGAGACTGACCTTGGACTTGTGACCTCTAGACCTCTACGTTTGTGTTGTGTTAAGCCACAGTTGTGGCAGTTGATTACAGCAGCAAGAGGAAAGTAGTCCCAGCCTTGTGACGCAGGCGTGTCTAGTTTGTTCACAGTGAGGGTGCTGAGGCTCAGAGGTTGCGCAGTTAGGCTGGACCTGGCTTTTAAATTCAGAGTTTGTCTAACTCCAGAGTCACAGTTCTTCTACCTCATCAGGCTGTTTTCAGAAATGTGTGTGTGTCGTGGTGGGCAGGAGGCGGGGAACTCCTTGGGGCTCGAAGGAGGAAACAAATCCGGGGACTGGAGGCTGCTGGGGAGAGGGACTTGGGGTCCCCGGGCAGGAAGCGGCTCTGAGTACTCATCCAGCGGAGGGGAGTCCTGCGGACACAGCACCGTCCTTGTCTCCCGCAGGGCCCGCATCACCGCCCCTCCTGGCTCTGTGGCTGAGGAGCTGATGCCAGGCAGGTAAGGAGGCAGAGAAGCGAGGAAGAGTCCAGGCTGTCCTGCTCAGGGGAGAGATGCTTCTGATGGGTGAAAGTAGAGCTCTGAAAGCGTTTTCCCATGGAAGCATTGCTGCACATTTGTGAACTTTGTATTGTGAGTGCTCTATTTACAGTTTATTTTGACTTGAATAAACTTGTGGGCTGCCCTGAGAATCTCTGTTATTTATCATAGTATGTCTATAGGAAAATACATTCTGAGTCTTCCAAAAGTAATTTGTAAAAGAACTTTTGGAATGCAAATTTTCCTAAGCTTGGGGACAGCCAGTGATCTGATTTTTGCCCAGAATGTTTGTACTTAAAAGTATTAAGATGTTCTGGATGTGACTTCCAAAAAGTTCCCCAGGCCCCTTCATTGTACTAGAATGTGCTTATATTAAATATTGTTGATGTTACTTGAGCTCAGTGGATTGTGATAGGGATGAGAGATTTTTTTTTTTTTTAAGTGCAGAATTTATGATTGTGTGGGGAGTTCTGTATCCTAGTCTTTCCCTGGCCAATTCTGTGTAGCTGGTTTCATTGTAGTGATTTTGCTGTGCTATAGCTGTCGACTTTAAGCCTGGGTATTAGGCGCTAACCCACCATTCAGTTTACAAGTCTGTTCTAATGGTTTGCGTCCACTACTGTCTACCAAGTTATTTCCCTTGACTTGTTTTCAGCTAATAGTCTTCAAGCTGCTTCCGGTTTGCCTACTCTCCCTTGTGGTTGGTAGTAGGAAAGGGCAGACTGAAGAGAGAAAAAAAAAGAGCTTTAGGAGTATTTTGCATTGTACAAAGTTTCTTTCCTTCATAATTCTGATCAAAAGAAAGAAGACCATGTGGTATTGTAGATGGTTTTACTAATACACCTGTTTTCTGTAGGGTTGGGCTTAGGAAACAAGCCCTACAGCAGTATGTCTTCATCCAGGTGAAGATGATTACAGTAAGGTTGAATATTATTTGGGATTGGATTTGTAAATTTTCAAGTGGAAAGTCATATCTATCAAAATTGCCCTTAACAATTCTCGTTAGGGGTGAGAAGGGACAAGGAAATAAGGACAGAGCCCAGAGTTGGCTTGGCCTTGGGGGGGTCGACTGCATAGCCTGCATTTCTGTTCAAGGCGAGTATTTACAGGGACACGGAAGTTACCAAGTTTTGGTTTGCTGACGTGGCACCCCTGGCAGCAGCAGCTCTGTCTTGGGTCTAGAAATTTATTTCAACTTGCCTTTCATAACTTTCAAACCTCTGGGAGTAAATGGGGGAATGAAGGCAGAATTAAATGTTCCTGTTTGCTTGCAGAGGATTATTCTGTTTTTCATGTTAAACTTTTATAGCCTTAATCTATGTTAATCAGTTTGTTTGTTTTAAGGATTCTGTGAAATAATTGATGTGAAAGCTTCTAACAGGGCCTGGCAGGTAGTAGGTGTCTAACAAACATTTGCTGGATTTGAATCTAAATGTCACAGGTGGTATCACGGCTTAGCGATCAATTAGATTCTTCCTGTGTTTGGGCATTTTGTACAAAATGAGATTTTTCATGGCTAAAATAGGAGACAGCAATTATTCTTTCTTTCCTGGGTGTTCTTAGGATGAATTGAGTGATGTTATCGATCTTAAGGATCCAGATTCCACCCCTGCAGCCGAACGAAGGCAGAAACGCCTGGCTGCTGAGCTGGCCAAGTTTGATCCTGATCATTACCTGTGAGTATTGAGGAATTTTTTTTTTTTTTTGAGGATTGAATAATTTACTTGACGTTGAGTATTTAAAATTTTTTTGAGTATCTTTTTAACTGTTAGGTATGTGCTTTTTTGGACTGTAGAATTTAGTGATGGCTCACAACCTTAGTTGACATTTGAATTAACCTACAACTGTTATACCTCTGTGATCTTTGTAAGATACTGTTTTTCATTACCTCGTTGCAGCACCAGAGAAGTCTTTTAATGTACTTTGAGTTTTTTCCTCGCCAAACTTAAAAATAGAACATTGCATTCATGAGAATAGTAGGTACCATTCTTTTCAGGAGACTCTTTGTTGTGATTAATGGTATATATAATTGAAAACATGTTTCAATTTCTTTTAAGAATTTGAATCTACATGTCCCACGTTTCTTGGCTGATCCAGGGTTTTCCCAACACTTTTATCCACTGGCACCTGTAATCGAGGATCTGTTTCAAATTAACAAATAACTTGTTCATTGGGGTAGGGTATAAGCAAAATCTACTTTTAAGTTTTGCTGTATTTCCCACCTGCATTAATTGTGTCTTGAGCCATCACGTGTCTCTATCAGGCTTATATTTGTCTAAGGAACAGATCTAATTAATGGGTAGGTAAATAATCACTTGCCTCGGAAAGATTGTGATGTCTCTCATTGGCCTCGGTAGCAGCACTTCTTTCAAAGAAGTGGTTTTCTCCGGGCCTCTGTGGGTACTCGGTGGCTTTCCTAGGATGTGAGTCGTGTTTTGATATAGGCCTCAATTATTCTTCTTCCCAAGTTCTGGGCCCACGATTTTTAAAACTGTTATATATATGCAGCTATCATCATCATATTCCCTTATACTTGTATAGTGCTCTCAGCTTGTCAAGTGCTCTCATGTGATTATTTAATTCAGTTTTCACAACAGCTGAGGAAAGGAGGTTAAGGGACTCATCCAAGGTCACACCACTACTAAGTGGCTCGGCCAGGACTTGAAAAGAGTCTTTCCATTTGTCATTTTGTGTTTCCTTTTCATGTACACTCTCAGTTTAACTGCTGTTGCTCTTGTGATTAACATTCTATCTCCTGTGACACAGTAGGAGACTAATTGGAATGGCAGAAATATATCCTGTGATGTGCAAATGGGCTGAGTGATGTGTAGTGATGAATGGGGGAACTCTTGGGTGGGTTATACTTTGGAGGACATCTGGGAGATTCAACTCCATTTATATTGCCGTTTCTAATTACCTTTATCTCTCCAATTGTGATTTTAAAGGTCCACTGAAGAATAATTTGAAGAAACGCATTTAAAATCATGCTGAATATTTAAAGCAGAAAAATTTCATTGTCACCAAATTTCCCGGGCAAGCATGAAAACAGATTGAGCTTTACAAGACAGAAATTTCGAGTGGGAGGGAGCTTAATTAGCAGAACTGCCTATCTCTTCTCTTCTAAAGCTCGAAGTATAGCGTTATGGCCTGAGAAAATCAAGAAATTGGAATTTATACTTAGCGGTGTGATATTAGAAGCAGCCCTTATTTTTCTCCATCTTCTGGTTCTTTATCCAGAAAACCACATTCTCTTTAATAGTGTGCATGAAGTGTACTTCACATTTCTCCAGGAAGAGCTTTTTTTACACGAGTGGCTTAAAGTTAGTCACGGGCAAGTTGGAGAGTGGGTGTCAGGAGATAGAGGTTCTTTGTGGCTTTTCTGGTAGGAAGAAGACTTCGGCAAATCGTCATTTTTGCGTCACTCTTGCGTCACTCGTTATTTATATTAGTTGACGGACTCACCCAAATGTATTATATTAAATGAAGTGCAAGCAAAATTCTTTTAACTTTTCAATTAAATTTTTTTAGCTCAGTCCTTTTTTTGTTGTTCTTAATGGTTAGTACAGTGGAAGAAAAAGTTTATTGTAAATTCTTATCTACCATGCAGACAGTACATTGCATGCATTGTATTAGACATTTATATCAATATACGTAAATGGGTAATACGTAATACATACGTATGCCAGTGTAATACATAATATAAAATATATTACATTAGCATAATATATGACATTTTCAAGTTGTTTGACTTGTCCTCACAAGTCATGATGTCTCTTCATGTTGTCGGAGTTTTTAGGAGCTTAAGGAAAACTAATTTTAATTTCATCCTAAAGCGGAAAGGTAAATTGACTATATACAAAAATGTACACATTTCAAAGGCACATATAAATGACTTCAGATTATTATTGTTTTTAAAATCCTCTCTTGTAAAGTATGGGTACCAGTGTGATTTTTTTTTTTGCTCCCTATGTTTTGCAGCCCAGCAGAATGCTGGGCATATAGATGATCCATAAACAATTATTTTTTTTTTGCTATCCATTTCTTGCCATTTATAATTCCTTTTGAGTAGTATTTTTACAGTAAAATATGTTGAAGGCATCTTGAAACATTCCTTCCTAGTCCTTTCTCTTTTGCTTATTATAGCTAAGTTTTCATATTTCTCTTGCTGAGAGTGGTGTTTTCTTTTCCTTCCCAGGCAAAGTGTTTTTTAATTGTTGGCATAGTTTTTACTTCAACTAGTTCATAAAATCTCATTTATTTCCTTCTTTGGGAGAAAGTAAAAGAATTTAGTCAACATTCAAAATATCTATGAGATAAGAAAAGGGACAAAAATGATCGTATAGCATTTGGGGTGCCTTTTTTTTTGGAACGAGATAAGGTCCTCTTTATTGTTTGTTTATTTTTTATTGAGGTATATTTGATTTACAATATTATATTTGTTTCAGGTGTACAAGATAGTGATTCAAAATTGTTATAGATTATACTCCATTTAAAGTTATTTAAAAATATTGGTTATATTCCCTGTGCTGTACAGTATATCTTTGTAGCCTGTTTATTTTATACAATAGTAGTTTGTACCTCCTAATCCGGGGTGTTAAGTAAGATTGTAATGTACAGTGCTATACATTTGTTAAAGAAGATGACAGACTGATCAGGATTCTGGATTTACTGAGGAAATCTCAAAATGACAAGTAGTAATTAGAAGGCTGAGAAGAGGATCATCTGCTTCCAAGGTGGCTCTTTATTCAAAACAGTAACCTTAGGATAAAGCACTGGGATAAACATGTCACTCATTCATCCTTTCACGTACGCACTTATTTGTTCAACAGATATTTGTTTGAATGACTTCCGTGCCAGGCAGTGTTGTAGACAGCAAGGAGAGTGTGGTGAATACAAGGTAGCTGCCCTCATGCGGCTTACACTCTAGTGGGGAAGTGGATAATATTTGGACTGTGATAAGTGCTATGAAGAAAAGCCAGGTTAAGGGTTTAGAGAGCGACTGGGCATCTCACTGACTCCTTTGTTTCAGCATATTCAAAATCGAACTCATCATGTTACCTGTAAAGTCTTCCTGAATTTTCTGCTTGGTGGAATGCCCTTTTTTTCATCCCAGTCACCCAGGTTAGATACCTGGGGTTCATCTTTGACTTCATTCTTATCCCACCCTTTCAGTCAATCCTGAAATTGTACCGTTTACCTCCTTGCTCTGTCCTTCACTCCATCTCTTCCTGGCCCTCGTCTGTGGTCTGTGTCTGGCTTGTTGCAGCTGTCCCCTAACACCCAGTTGGCATCTCTCATTCCAGCCTGCGCTTCTGCAGATCCATCAGCCATAAGACTACCAGCATGATGTCTTAGGTACTGAGAGTGAAAATCTGCTTAAACCCTTACTGGGTGCTCCTTTGCCTACAGCATAAGCTCCTAACTCCTTAGCATGTATAGGAAGTTCTCTGTGATCTGGACGCCACCTGCCTCTGTAGCATCTCTTTTGCCACTCCCTGCCCACGTTTCATACTATGGTGGTGACGAATGTTTGCCTCTCCCCGCGTGTACTACACCGCTTCTCACACACTTTTTACTCCTGGTTTCCCTTTGCTGGCTATTTCCCCACCCCATCCCGCTTTCCCTGAAAAACTTTGACTTACCCTTTAAGGCTGGGCTCAGTTGTCACCCCATGGCACCCTCCCTTCCAAGTTGGCATAGGAGCTGCTCGTGTGTTATAGCTCATCTTGTTTTTACCGCAGGGTTTTGTAACATTCTGGGTTTGTGTCTGTGGTTCCCGTTAAACTGTGGTGCCCTGAAGGGCAGGGGGTGAGTGTGACTGATCTTCATCTGCCCGACCCCACGTATAGAGGGCCCTCAGTGAATGCTCGTTGAATTAATGGCATTTAAAAAGTTGAAAATAATTTATTTGGGAAAGTAGAACATCAGTTGACCTCAGATCTTGGGCATCATAAAGAATAAACCATCCCAATTTAGATGAGGGACCGTATTCGTGAGATTTTACTCAAAACACTTTGAAATTTTTTTGTGGGGCAGGGCGTGAAGGTGGCAGAGATACTGTTCTACAGAAGCAATTTTCCCCAGCATTTTTCTCCTGGGGAGAAAACAGCATCTTTTCAGATGGGCTCTTCTTCTACCCTTGACTTAAACGTCCTTGGTACCCCAGCTTTCGACACCCTTTCCCCTCACTGTGTCACTTCTTTCTCCCTGGGCATTCTGTCCTCTTCTTTGGCCTCAGTAACTGAATGCTCAGGACTCCTAGGTGTCTATTTTGAGCATCAGGTTTGCGTGTCTGACCGCCTGTTGGATAGGTCTTTGTTTGTATGTCCTGCAAGGACACCTCAAGCAACCCATCCCAAAGCAGAAGCCATTCCCTCTCCAGTCGTGTCTGCTAACATCCCATGTTAGCAAAGGGCACTGCGGTCCACCGAATTGTTGAGGTCAGAGTCCTGGGCAGCAGCCTGATCCTGACAGGAATTGATATTGAGAATTACTATTTCAAGATAATCGCTGTTCAGTTTTGTCCAATATGTGCCTTATGTCCTCAGTCATAAAAATGGAATGTTTGTATTGGTTAATAGCTTGGGTTTCAGACTGAGACTTCAGTGGATCCAACTTGTGGCCACAGTTCTTACTGGTTCTTTGACCTTAACCATGATATACAATTTTTCGGACTCATGTAAAAGGGGACTATTAATAGCACCCTTTGCCTGTGCGGGTGGTGTGAGGATTCAAGGAAATAATTGATGAAGAGCACTTAGTGCAGTGCTTGGCACATCCAAAGAACTCAGTAAGTTATCTGTGATCTTTTTAATTTTAAAAATATTTCAGGGACTTCTCTGGTGGCACAGTGGTTGAGAATCCACCTGCCAATGCAGGGGACATGGGTTCGAGCCCTGGTCCGGGAAGATCCCACATGCTGTGGAGCAGCTGAGCCCATGCGCCACAACTGCTGAGCCTGTGCTCTAGAGCCCGTGAGCCACAACTACTGAGCCCGTGTGCCACAACTACTGAAGCCCACGTGCCTAGAACCTGTGCTCCACAAGAGAAGCCACGGCAATGAGAAGCCCACGTACCGCAACAGAGTAGCCCCTGCTCGCCACAACTAGAGAAAGCCTGTGTGCAGCAACAAAGACCCAACACAGCCAAAAATAAATAAATTTTTTTAAAAATTTCAATATCTCAGTTGAAAGAAAAAATATTTAAGGTCACAAAACTGAGCTAGGAAATCCAATTTACCAAAACAACCAGTGTCTTGAGGTTCTAATTACCTGAAATATAAATGAATTTTCCACCATGAGTTATATACTTTTTGTCATTCTTTTCCCAAGAATATCAGTTTCCAACTTTGAGTGCAAGACCGTATAGTTTCTGAATAAGTGTCCTCCAAGAGTATATTTTGAATGTAGCAGTTACTTTCCTAGTTAAAACTGAGAAAGTAAAGTGTGGGAAAATTAATTTTCTGTTCTCTACAAAGGTTGCTTTTATCTTTTGCAATAGTTTTAAATTAAGGAACTATTAAGATTAGCATAGCTAAATAAAATAGATTGCATCATGGAAGGAAACATGAGTGCACATGCTAAAACATAAGGGGTGTGTGTGTGTGTGTGTGTGTGTGTGTGACATCTGTGGATATGTAGTATCCTAAATCTTCTCATGTGTTTATTTTTTGTTGGTGGAGTTAAAAGATGCTTTCCTTTAACTATATAACCTTACAAAAATCTGTGATATTTGCAAACCTCGCACAAGCCCTAGGCTTCATTCAGTCCATTGTGTGTTCAGATTCACTTCAGCCCACATGGCTGTGGTACAGGGCATGGGACTTCAGAAGGGGACTGGTCTTCTCTGTACTTTCTGTCTAAAGAGATCACAGATGTCAAATATCCCTTTAGTCTAGTGCTTACTTTTTATTTGTGACCATTAGTAACCACAACGAAAGTAATAGCAGTGCTCAGTCTTTCCTTGAAATGTACTTTTAGTCTGTATTTCTAGTGCAGATGTGATGAGTTAAGGTAAAATTTTAAAAAGTGAAAACCAGCCTAACTCTGTGTAACAAGCCCCTTCATATTTTTTTTTTTCCCCAGAGCTGACTTTTTTGAAGATGAGGCAGTTAAACAGGTTTTGGAGTATAATCCTTGGGATTGATCTGTGTATTCAAAAATGATGGCTTCTTTGGGGAAGAGTCAGTCAGGAACAAGAAAATCTTGCTGCGTTAGGTAAGAAACTCAAAATTAGGTCATTTGTTTACTGCCTTTCCTAAGCACACAATTATAATTGCCTCATAGAGTGAAGATATTATTTTGATTTGCTAATTTTGGAAATGGGTCTTCATCCCAGACTGGGAAATACCACTCAATAATTACACTTATTTGTCTTGGAAAATTCTTTTGGAATATGTTTTACTTTTGAATCATTGGAGTCTTTTAAAATTTTTTTAAATTTTTTATATTTTTATCAAATTTAGGGACACTAACACACAGAATAGTTATTGAATAATCTACTTGAGAGATCTGACTATTCGTCTGTGGCAAGGGCATTTGAGTATTAGAAATGGTGAGAAGAGACCCAGTTTTCAATCCCTTTGTCTGTTGAGTGAATTTGTTAAGTTCTTCCTAGTTTTTTCACATGTGGTTTCATGTGGAAGCAGAACTAATTATCTTCCTTTTTGTACCTTACAGAGAGCAGGTGAGCCAGTTTTTACCAGCAAAGGCTGAGCTGGGGGGGTTTATGAGCCACAAGAGACTGCTGTGCCATATTTAATATTAAGCCAAATGTTATACACAGAGTCATTTCTTAGATGGGCATTTTATTAACACCTTCTCTAAGTGGGAGGTTGGTGTGTTAAGTCTGTAAATTAGAATTAAAACAATTTCTAGTAGGTCAGTGTTTTCTGTTACACTGATTTAGCTTTTAATTATATATTAAAAATACTACACCTTGGGCTTCCCTGGTGGCGCAGTGGTTGAGAGTCCGCCTGCCGATGCAGGGGACACGGGTTTGTGCCCTGGTCCGGGAAGATCCCACATGCCGCGGAGCGGCTGGGCCCGTGAGCCATGGCCGCTGAGCCTGCGCGTCCGGAGCCTCTTGCTCCGCAATGGGAGAGGCCACAACAATGAGAGGCCCTCGTACTGCAAAAAAAAAAAAATACTACACCTAGACTTGTGGTATGGTAGTATATACAAATGCTGAATGTGTATATACAGATCAGTATTTGTATATACAGATCACTTTGTAGTATATACAAATGCTGAATTTTATCGCTGTATACTTGAAAATTATATAATAAAAAGTATATGTATTAAAATTTTAAAAGTCTATTCTGTGCGGTATTTGAGAATGAACAATTTTACTACCCCCCCAAAAAATTTAGTGTTTAAATGAAAGGAATACACACACACACACACGCAAATACATTAAATGGAATACAGAATTTCCCCACTCCAAATTCCTCTTCTCGAAAGTAATCACTATAAACAATTTGGGTTTTTTTGTTTGTTTGTTTGTTTGTTTGTTTTGCGGTACGCGGGCCTCTCACTGTTGTGGCCTCTCCCTTTGCGGGGCACAGGCTCTGGACCCGCAGGCTCAGCGGCCATGGCTCACGGGCCCAGCTGCTCTGTGGCATGTGGGATCCTCCCGGACCGGGGCACAAACCCACGTCCCCTGAATCGTCAGGTGGACGCTCAACCACTGCGCCACCAGGGAAGCCCAATTTGGGGTATTTTTAGTGCATATCCTGACATCTAAATATTTGCTTTAAGAAATGTATTCACATAGATTCATACACACTCTCTTCTCACTGCTTTCTCCAGTTTGTAGTGTATGTTGTACCTCTTTCATCAGCACTTACAGTCCTACCTGAGGCTTTTAATGTCTGCCTAGTGTTCTGTTGTATATTTGTGTCATGATTAGTGGCCACGTGGTCTGTTTACCACTGGTGGGCATTCGGGTTGTTTACAGGGTTCTGCAATGGTCTTTTCTGACCACTCATTCTGAAGTAACTGTTGCAGCACGATATTTTGATCCTCTGCATAGCAGTGCAATAGCCTGCTATTTGCTCTATTTCTAGAGCCTAGAAAGAGCCTGTTATGTAATAGGTACTCAGTAAATATTTGTAGAATAAATAAATATTGCAGTAAATATTTTTGTAGTTAGGTTTCATTAGAGTTTAGGTGATCTCTACCAGGTTGAAAAATTGCCATTGTAATTTTTTGGAATGGACTCTATATTGCACAACGGAAACTCATTTATAAATAATGACTCTTGTTTACATTGTTTTCGACAAATCCTTGGTTTTATATTTGATTTGAGTTTAAGAATCTTTCAGAGACCTCCCATATCATGTAGGCGAATTTTCAGGTACGAGATTGCTAACACAATTTAGATAGTTAACTGTATGTGCCATGTGGATCTGCTCAAACTTAAATCATCAGTGCTCTCTAGTGAATCATTTTCCCCAGTTTGGGTTCAGTATTTTACTGAAGTGGTCTGGGGAGGAATTGGTGGTTGTGTAGTTAAGTTTTCTGTCCACAAGGGTGCGGTAGTTGCCCTAAAAATCAAGAGGCGGCATTACCTTTGATTTGAATTTTAACTTGCTCTGCTTTGATCAGTTGCAGCTTGTTCTAGGTCCTGTTTTCTGTGTCAGCCGTGCTTTGAGTTAGTTCTCTATGTGTAATTTTAACAGAAGGTTAAGCCAGTCGATGCCTTTAACCATTGGCCTTCCTGACCCTTTATCTGACCTGTGGCATATATCCAGACTGGTGCTTCAGGCACACTCATATTCTGCTAGCTATTACAGTGATTCATTCTAAGAATCACCTTTAAAAACAGCAAGGGCATGTGATAAAGGTAGAACAACTTGAATTCTGTGTTGTACAGAAAGTACCTCTTGTAAATGTGCCAAGTATCAGGTTATGCATAGAAGGTAAATGTGGGTTTCTGGGTTTAATGCCTTCCTCCTCCACAGGCTGGCTGTGTGACTTTGCAACTTCTCTGGGTTGCTGTGGAAATCCTGTTCCTACCTCATAGACTTGTCATGAGGATTGAACTAGACAATGTACTTAAAATCCTTAGCATACTGTAAGTGTTGGAAATTGTCATCATAGAGTAAATCAGTGGCAGGAGAGCCAGGAATTGACTGGCTTCCTTTTGAAATCATAATTTTTATACATTTACACAGCTTTAAGGGGAATTTCTTTAACATGATTCCTCTTTCAGTTTCTTTTTCTTGTTCAAATATTTGAGACACCCAGAATTGGAGGCATGAATTGAAGTGTGTCGAACCAGGCTCAAATAGGAGAAAAAAGAAATAAACCAAAAAATAAACCTTAAAGTTCTCAGCTCACTCAAGCAGTGTGATGCTGCTGTAGTTTTTCCCTCGCTCCTCTTCCTCTTTTTCCTTCTTTGCCTCCCAGGCCTTGCTCTCTGTCCCTGCAGTGGCACGTTGCCAGGCATATATAATGGTGCAGGTGAGGGGTGCACCTTTGATTCCTCCTCATAAACTATTAAGCTGGATTGTCTTGATTTCCAGATAAGCCTTAGGTGGTGAACTTTGCTCCCCGTCTTTGCCTTGCCAAAGACGAGGTTATGACTGTTGTCATTTTCATCGTCGCCCTGAGTTACAACACGGAGACTTTCATTGCCATCTTCAGTTTTGTAATGATCCGGATCTTCCTCCCCAAACGCTTGTAAATGGAAGTGTTAAATGCTGTACTCGCACTGAGCTCTGGTTTCACGAGGATGGACTTCCCGCATTTCCCATGTTGTCTCTCAGTGGTTAATCTCAGCCCAGGAATCTTGGCACATGATTGCTTGTTATGACACCGCATAACATTTATAGTCAATGAACTTCCTACCAGGGACATCCTGTTTGGCACCAGTGTTTGCAGAGCTGTCAGCATCAGCCCTGAAAGCTGCAGCACTGTGGGGCTGCCCATGTGGGCCAACGGTTTGAATGCAGCACATTTTCTTCTGATTCCCTTGATCTGTTTCCAGAAAGTGGACAATGTGATGCATTTGCATTCCTCTGAGAGGAGCCAGATCATGGATGATTTAATTGTTGACCCCTGGAAGACAGGGATGTTTGGGAGGGGAATTAGGCAGAAGAGAAGATTTAAAAGTAACAAAGTGAGGTGATGTTCGAAGTGAAGTGACAAGGTCACTTTCCACTTTGATGGGAGCCCCTGGGTAGTCCTCAGATGTTTTGATGGGGTTTTTCATGTTGGGAGTTGGTCCTGGGCCCTTTGCTTCAGTGTTAGGGCACCAGTTTCTTCCCCAAATGAACTGAGCTTTAAGCTGGCTTTTGTTTGACTGTAGATTATATATAGAAGTATAATTAACCGAAATGTTGTGAACTGTCAATATATAGCAAAGTTGCTTTGTC